CGTCTTCGCCAAAATATATATACGCATTTACACAACCGCTCTCACCATGGCCGATGAAACAGCCTTGGGGCACGAAAGCGCCCTCTCGCGGGCAACCTACTTGAATGTCCCCATTATTTTCTCCAGAGTTCTGGAGACAGACGAGGGCGAGTCTTGTTTGGGGGGCGATGCAGGAATGCGCAGGCACGGGGCAGGCCCGTGATTGGATCAGGACAGATTGTCTGGAATCGTTAACCCAATTTGCGGAGTAGTGATAAATGACGGTGTAGATTGTCCATGGAAAAGTTAAAGCTAGTGTTCCGCACACGCGATATTTTGTGGGAAGTACAGGACAAACAGCGGGAAATATTCATAAAAATATAACGTGCAGTTGACAAACTGATATCTGAGCAGTGTAGGTTATTAAAAGTGCAATATTCTGTTGTGATGTTTTCGCCAACAACTTGAAATATTGAGATTAACGGGACGTCCATTCGTTGCCTTCATGTATGAGGTAAAGCGATATACAGCTGAATTTAGCATAAAAACAGGTGATGACCACTAAACTTCACCTTGTTCTATAGGGTGAATCAAAAAGAAAGTGCGCTGGATTAATGGTTTTCCCCTTAAAAAGCAATTAAATTTGATACACCAATGCAGCACTTATTAAACGAGCATGTTCTTGCACTCATCTGAACAGAATTACTGAAATTGATCAATGCTATTGGAAATTATGCAATTTGTTTTTACTAAAAGAATCCATTTTTACAGTTGTCCATTGAATGCTAAAATACTTTGAAGTTATTCAGCCGCGAGAGAACCAGAGATTAAACACAGAAATTCAAATACAATAATTTAATAATTTGAGTCAAGACTTAAACTGTATTTTTTTCTGTCAGACTTTGTGTTTTGCAAAATCAATCACGTTTTTTTTCTGAAATGATGCTGGTGATTTTTGTCAGTTTTCATTTGGAAGTTTTCGTTCATTTATGGAAGTACGGAAACCCCATGGTTCATTTTATTTCATTGGTATTCATCAAAAAACCATTAAACAGCTTTAATCACTTGTTTTCTGAATGTTGCAATTTTTGGGGCACACTCTGTATATTATTAATATTTTTTCTCACTTGGTCGGTTTCTATTTTTACTCACCGTGTAAAGGTCAGTGTGAGTCAGGACCAGATTTGCAAACATTCCAAAACGAACTTACTGCCCAAATATTATGAAATATACTTGGTTGGAAGTTAATAAATTAGTGCGTCTAGCATGTTGTCAAAAGAGGAGTTACCACTATAGTTCCTCGAGATGGTTATGACCAAACCATCGTGAGAAGAAACTGCTCTTTGTTTTTCTAATACTGCTCCCAATTTAGTTTAGTTTGCAATCGATTACATGTCCGTGAATGACAATTATTTTTCCCGAGTGACATTATACTATACGTATAAGTCAAAATGTATCAATGAACATTTTTGAAAGGAGGGCTTTCAACGGAAACAGTGCCTTTTGTTTTTTGAAAATGAAGATGCATTTTCAGAGTTTTTTTTTTTAAGTATGGTGGCGTAAGTCCCGGGAGGGATAGGGTTGTATTTTCCCCATTTTTGGCCAGGGCGGATTGGCATTCGGATCATCCACCCCACCACCCCCTTTTTCTGGTGGACATTAAAATTAAAAGTAAAATTTGAACTAGTTAAAAATGCCAGTAATTAAGGTAAAGTTTCATAAAACAGTATAGGCCTACTCATGCCGCAGATCTTATATGTTTATGCGGTTTTCTGAATAATAATAATAAATGATAATAACGGGTTTTTATATAGCGCTTTTAACTAAGATCAAAGCGCTTTACATTAATATTACCCCTGATCATTTGGCCAATTAAACGTTCCAAATACCATCTCAGCTCCCTGGGGAGTATACAGCTCGGTGCAGCCTGTTAGGCGCAAGGAAGCTAATTCAATCACAATAACCATCTCTGCCCTCACAGGTACCCATCTACTCCTAGGTGGAGAGAAGCAATGAGTGACAAAGTGCCTCGCCCAAGGCACACGCACCATTACCCCAGGCTGAAATCGAACCAATAACCTGCAGAATTACCCGCAGACCACAAATTCAATGTCCCAGGCCACAAGGCCACGGCACTCCACAAACAGCGCCATCTAGTGTGGAATGGTGTCCAGCCCCCCTCCTTCTTTTAGATTTTGCAACGTATGGGCAAGCTTCAGGAGTTTTGGGGGCGCTCGTGTCCCCAGTTGTCGACATGGATTTACGCCACTGATAATAATATGCACTGAGCTGAAATTTCGACAGGTTATTGTATTTCAATAACTTGCTTCAGATCTCTTGTATTGTTCTTTAACGGGGAAAAACACCTGTTCTTGGCAATTTATTATATAGTGTCAATTACTTTACAAAAACTAATCAGTGACTTTTCGACCTGGGCATTTAGCGGCACCTGAATATACTGCAGTGATGGTTGCGATGAGATTGAACAAATGAAAAGGTTTATATAATTACCTACAATGTGATTTTGTGTGGATGCTTGGAGGGCCAGCATAGGCCTACAGCTGGGCGGCCTTTATAGCATTCAACTAAAAATGGGGCCCAAATGATTCATTTCATACTTAAAACAAAGGCTTTGTTCAAATACCCATGTCTCTTATTGAATTCTGGATGAAATGGATCTTTTAAACAATTGTTTACTTTCATGCAAACCCAGGATTGGTACAAAAGGAAGACTCCTAAATTAAAAACGGAACGATGCCACACTATTGCACATCTATTGAATTTGAAATTAAAAGGATGCAAACGAGACAAGATAATAAAAAGGCTGTATGAAACGAAAGAAAGACAAAGTAAAGAAGAATAAATGATTGATGACTGCCAAAAAAAAAAAAAGACCTAAGGCCAAAAAAAAAAAAGTCTCCGGTTTCTGGTATGCGCGCGCGTCGCCGTAGCCATGCGCGTCGGCAAAATGAAAAAGTTTTTTTTTCAATAAAAGATGATGTCTCAAAACCGCCAAACTCACTGGTTTGACTGGAATCCTGCTGCTGCACAATTTTAACGTGTTTTTAGATGGGGTTATAATCGAGAATAAGCTTTATGTGGCCTCTCTGGACTCCCATATAATTGCACAAAGTTTAGTCGGGCACCATTTGCAGTCATCAGCCGGCATTTGAAGCAAAAAAAACAGGTAAAAAAAAAAAAAAAGCCGCGTCGCCGCACCACTTTTTGGGCAAGCTCCATACCAGAAACCGGAGACTTCTTTTTTTTGGCCTAAGGCCAAAAAAAAAAGTCTCCGGTTTCTGGTATGCGCGCGCGTCGCCGTAGCCATGCGCGTCGGCAATGAAAAGTTTGTTTTATCAATGAAAGATGATGTCTCAAAACCGCCAAACTCACTGGTTTGACTGGAATCCTGCTGCTGCACAATTTTAACGTGTTTTTAGATTGGGTTATGGTCAAGAATAAGCTTTATGTGGCCTCTCTGGACTCCCATATATTTGCACTAAGTTTAGTCGGGCACCATTTGCAGTCATCAGCCAACATTTGAAGCAAAAAAATCAGGTAAAAAAAAAAAAAAAAGCCGCGTCGCCGCACCACTTTTTGGGCAAGCTCCATACCAGAAACCGGAGCCTTTTTTTTTTGGCCTAAAGCTCCGCTAGAAAAACGCAATCAAATATTTTGTTGGAAAATAAACCACGGCCATGCAGTCTACGAGCGCTTGGAGGCGCTATACAGGTCTTCTGGCCATTTTCACTGAAGCGCGCAATCGGATTCAGTTTTTCTGCAGCTTATTTTCAGTCTCTGCTTAACATTTAGACTGAAAACTAAAGAATAACTTATACATCATTTTGGAAAAATTAGGACATATTGGTATTAATTAAATTGAACCACTGCCATTGGGATCAAAATGGGCATTTACAGGTATTTTTCAACTAAAAATGATCACGTTGATATCCAAACCTATGGCCACCGGAATCTAAACTAGAAACGTCAAAAATAATATTTTGACCGATCGGAAATGGTTATTGACTTGCTACAAAGGATGGACGATAATGAGCTGGAACTAACACTGCAAACAATTCATTATTTTCTAGTTAACATAGGTTTATGCAATCGAAATGTCTCTCTGATAACTATTCAACCTTAAACAGTGCCGGTGAAATTGCCGCGAAGATATCCGCTGCCATAAGCTTTAATCAATAGAGGGCGGGCGTACAAAGAGGCCCACGCTGCAACCTCCTTTCCATAAAACGAGATCCTGCCCGATGAAACCGATGTCAAAATGGTGTGACTATAGGGGACGAGGTTTCCAAATTCCAACACTGCACCACTGCGTTGGTGGGGACAAACCCAGGGTGAGAAGTGCATTGTGAAGAATTTTTGGAATTTTGTGGGTCACTTTAAGGTCAAATTTGGAACGCGCTTGAAATGAAAGTTTACAATCGTGTTTCGAAAAACACAAAAGATTTACATTGTTCATGATCAGACTAAAATTTACTTAATTTTATTTATTTGTTTTTTTTTTTTTTTATTGCTGGGAGCAGTGTATGGTGAATCTAGTAATTTTCTACGGGGGGGGGGGTTTCTGCAATGGGGCGTAAGACCACTGGCAGACCAAGACCCAGACCTCTTCTACTCATGTTTTATTATCCCAACATTTTTCCTCAATGATCCTTTCCCATCCCTACGTTATGTTTTTTCTTTATATGAAAATGCATGAGTCGAGTCACGAGTCACCAAGCTCGAGTCCGAGTCATCATGGTCGAGTCCAGGTCCGAGTCATTTTCCAATGTGACTCAAGTCGAGTCCGAGTCACAAAAAATGTGACTCGAGTCCGACTCGGGTCTGAGTCCTGGACTCGAGTCCTTCAACACTGTTGATATCTTTTCAACTGCGCTCTGTAAGTTAAAAAAATTGATTACAACAGTGATGCAAAACGGCTTCATTTCATTCACACTTGAATGAACAAAAACCTTTACATTAACTAAACATAAGATTCTTGTTCAATGTTGTCCTTACTGCATTGTTCCTATATCCAATATTAAAATTCTCATAACGCTTGGATTTAATAGAAATGAAAACGTTTAAAGATATATCATTTTCAAAGACTGAAAAACATGCTATGTACATGTAGGTACTTATACTGGCAGCATTGATAAACAAAATCTGCATATTTGTTCTATAATATTACTTCTCTAGAAAATGGTTGTACAATTTTTTAAATTCATGTTTCACCCAAGCATTATACCCTGTGAAATCCGATCCCTTAACTGTCAATGAGTGCGCGACTACGAGTTCTCTTTTTTTCTGTGACCGATACTGTCAAGATAGGCCTGCTGACAATATACAGTGCAACTATATCTTTTTTAAGATATAAAACAAATTTCTAAATAAATTTCAGTTATAAAATCAATGCGAGTCCGGCACTGAGAATATATTTCGCGGTTGTTGTTGCCGTTGTTGTTGTTGTTGTTTTTTTTTTACCGTTGAGGGGCACTATAAATAGGCGATCATTTCACGGCTAACTGCATGGCACTCATCTATAAAACACAAACTGCCCGTCAGCTAACGCGAAGCAGCCACGAAAAAGGGGAACAATGTGCGCTTTGTACAGAAGGTCAAGCGTGCTTCATGGAAGTATATACATGTAAATGAACGTTGACACTATAATTGAGAATGAACACAGAAGACACAGACGACTGTCCAATGCATTTACAGCACCTCCAATCAACACAATCAATCGAACATTTTTGTTTTCAAAATTATGATCGAGAGACCTCAAGCCAACCAAGATCGAAAATTAAAACAGCCATCAGTGAGACAGGTTTTGCTGAGCTTCAAGCCATTATCGTCATCAACAATAAGCTCATTGAACTTAATGATGTTGAGAGATATAATCAATTTAGAGAGACAGGCTATATTGTACATTCACACCATCCTACCTTCTGATCTACCAACATGAACACATCAGGTATCTCCCCAAACCAGCGTATCATGCGTGCGGTCGACTGCACTCCACAATCGCTCAAGGCACAAACAACCATCCAGCATACCAATCAATTTCATTACAAACTGCATTTTCAAACCAGACCGTATGTGAGTGAGCTATCTCAGTTTGCACCATCGAGCAAAATGCTTACAGTTGTTCCAGACTAAGGAGTATCGGTACGTCTCGTCCCCGATCTTAGATCGGGCCCTCTGGATCACCTCGTCAGGTGGATAACACTTCCGCTCGTCGTACACCAGCCTGAAGACAGATGTTGAGAAATCAACTTTCTCTTCTATGACACCCTGATTGTACGTGTTGTGTACCACCTGCACTTTCTTCGCACCTGGGAACCGGTCAACCACTATGGCGTGGTGTCTTGGATGCAGCAGGTTGCCGTAAAACACGACTTGGTCTCCAGGCTTAAGGTCCTCGATTCTCTCCACTGCCCTGTCGTCGGTCCCCATTGCCGAAGTTATGGCACGGCCGATATGGGGTCCGACAATGGAGCCCAGGGGTTTTCCGATAATCAAGCCCAAGGTACCTCCCACGACACTTCCAAGAAACGCACCGACTGGTGATAGTATTCCAGGCAAAATGAAACTACCAGCAGCCTGTCCCGCTATGCCTATGAATGAAGCAAGCCCGGCACCAAAAATTGCTTCGCTCACACGCCGTGAAGCAGTTTCAATGAAATCTTTCAAAGAAATGCCACCCGACTTTCTTTTCTCATACACCTGTCTGAGGTCCCAATAACACGTACGACCTTCAAAAGCGAACACAAGACCCACCCCTACCCAGTTAGATCCTTTCCATACCTGCTCAATAAACTCTGCTTCCCCCACCGCTTCCACTGCTTTTTTTCCTCCACCCGCCATCGCATCATTAGCGATCTTCCTGACGAGACTATACCCAACCTTCCACACGCCGTCTGCGAGACTAGCTAGCGCTTTTTCCACAATTTCCGTGTATTTGCGATACAGCCAGACAAGCTGGCAGCTCTCTGCAACCCCAGTCTTACAGTAAGACGCGAACGCTTCGCAGTTATCTCCGAGCAGATTGTAACCAATGTCCCCCTTTCTCGATTCAGCCCGGGCAATAACCAACTCCGGCGTGTTGGCCGCGGTAATCTCTTTAGGATAATCGATACGAAACGTGTCCCCCCACTGCTGGCGCAAGTCAAGCTCTTCTTCAACGATCTGCGTTGAAACGCTGCAGTTTGGTTTATTCCAATGTATAACTTTGACTTTTCCAACCTCATCACAGAGGCCAGACACGACTGCATGGTGCCATATGCCCCAAGGGCGGTGCCACGTGATATGATCCCCTACCTTTATGTAATGACTAATGTCGTCGAAGTGTTCAATCTTGGTGCGACAGTCCTTCACCTGAAAGACCGGATTTTTCTCCAAAGGTACCTCTAGTTGTTCCTTCAGCACGACCCCACCGAGTTTCACCCACGGGCGAGTGTTGTCCACGTCTGGATGGAACAAGAAGCGCTCTGAGAGCCACTCCTGGCCGCATAAGGCGCAGCAAAGACCAATCACACGGGTGAAACCTTCGTAGTCTTTGCTGTAGTATCTTCGCATCTTGAGGGGATTGGCATTGCCGCATTGTCCACACGGTTGAAGCTGTTGCGACGGTACTGCAATCGGAATGAGATCGTGATATGGAGCAAAGATTTAACGTACGAGTTACTGATTTGTATTATCAACTCCTAATTTTTTTGGCTGGGGTGGGCTGGACTCTCAGCAAGTACTTATGTTCAAAAACGAAAAATATGTTTCACTCGTTTCACTGGTAATATTACGGTGTACTTTTTTGTTCACACGGATAGGACCGCAATTCTTCGTGTTGTTTTCAATAACGTAACATTTGGATTGTAGTGTTTTGTGAATTTTTTGCATCTGCACAAAAACTTGTCATAAAAAAAAAGGCTTTCTTGTGTCTACTTGGACCATCCTTGGCTTACCAAGTGCTTGAGCTAGATCTTCGCGGTCCATCATCATCAGGGCTCTGCCCAAGTGCTCCACAGGGTTATCACCCTCGAAGTCTTCTCGCCAGAGAACAAGCATCTCCTCGGCCTGCTGCCAGGGCTCTGAATGGTACTTCATGATTGCTTCACACTGAACCTCGTCCATCAGGAGATAGAGAGCCAACTTCGGCCAAGACTCACCCAGGCCCCTAGCAATCTTGCGGATGGTGGTTGTCTCTAGAATCTCCTCACCTGTTGATCAAAAGACAGGAGACAGTATCGGTAGGCGAATTAGGTTCTTTACTTCCACTTGCGTTGGACCAGCTCGTCATCACGAACGCCAGAGGAGCGCAATCAGTAGGAGACCCATTTCAAATAATCTCAAGAATCATTTTCACGGACTTCATTATTATTTAGGGAGATCTCCAGACCCATTCGGCGCTATTGGTGGACAAGTGCACTGCTCAAGGTTTAATACTGATATGAGTGTTGTGTCCCCTGTACACTCTAAAAAAGTTCCTATAAGTCAGATTGACCCCGAATCCTGGTTGTATTGGTACGTTTCAGGTTTAGAAATGACAACTTTCAAGGTCTAAATGACACTTCCCTAGATATTTTCTGGGTCATTTTGACCAGGAAACCTTTAACGTTTCAATTCCATGTCTGACAATGACAAGCTTTAGGCCATATAGACCCCCTATTCCGAGTCCAATTTGACCAGGGACCATTAAAGTGCACAAAAGATATTGAAATACAAAAGCTTCGCATTCTTAGTTCCCTAGCTAGCTACACAGATATTATTAGTCCATCGTTTGTGAGCTGAAAGAACGTGGCGCTTCTCTTATCCAAACCGATTCTCCAAAATAATCACTAAAAAATATAAAGATGCTTACCTAGCCACTTAAGCAGATCATACCGACTGATTTTCTTGAGGGCGCCTTTTAATTCGTCCATCTTGACAAGACCATCGTGTCGCTCCCGGAGAGCTTTAAGCATCTGCCAGGCCTGTTCCTTGATGTCTTCGGGGTAAGCAACGCGGATGCTCCCACAGTCGTCATCGTCAAATCCAAGATGTTCTGCTACCTCGGGCCATACTCCTTTAAGTTCATCCGCCAGTGTCTGGAGAGACTTTTCATCCACAGTTTCCAGGCCTGTCGGGAAAATAAAGCGGGAAAGAGTCCGTTGTTTACTATAAACAACTAGCTTTTTTTGCTATCTGCAGTGCCTTGTCAGAAGTGACAAAAACTCATTTGTAACTATTTTGGCAAATATTAATGACCCTCCGATTTTAAACCAGTAAATGCCAGTCTTCCACACCCAACAGTTTCAAGTGAAATATTTGTGGAAAGCCCATAAACAATATCTCACTGATGCGACCTCAATTGTTCACTTACCAGCCTATTATTTAAGGTTACCTTTATTTCTACACCCTGTATAGATATTATCTTTTCGCAAATGAACACATGAAAATAATCATTCAATTGGATATTTGAAGCTGTTAGTTGTTTAACCTATCCTATTCTCTGATGATTTAAGGCTCTCGTCGTGAACAGTTCGAAATAATGTGACAGTTAAAATGGGTGACAATAAATGACGGGATTCTTACCTATTATTTTCAGCAGGTCATACTTCCCCATTCGCTTCAGTGCCTTGGTCAATTGACCAATCATGTCAATGCCTGGGTAGTCTTCTCTCCACACCGTCAGCATGCGTCGGGCCTGCTTGTGAACTTGGTCAAATGACCCGGCGATGCTAACAATCTGATTGTCGTCCAGGTGCAGATAAAAAGCCAGTGTCTGCCAGGCTTCTCCAAGTGCATCAGCCAGAGGCACCAGCAAAGGGTCATCAAAAATCTCCGCTCCTGTTAATTAATAGACGAAGGTTGCAAATACCACGTGTGGTTCGTTAACATGAAAAGCATTCGTAAGACGCATCACGTGATTGCATCTCCTGATTTGGAATAATTTTTAACTGGTTAGAGTGAGCGAATTTAATTATGGGAAAGCTGTAGGATCGAAGCTTTTCTATTTATTTTTTTTCGTCCACAAAACGTTATCTTCCTTTCTTTAGTTATTTATCGATTCTATACCTCATTACAAATATGGCCTAAGTTGCTAAAACATATAACATTTTGTGCCTGAAAAACATTAAAAAAAATTGAAAATTCTTTATCGTTCAAGACTGCCACAGACTATCTACACAAAGTGGCATCGATATAGGCCTACTACATTTTTGCCAACACGCTTACCATGCTCTCCCAGCAGGTCGTACCGTCCAATCTTCCTCAGAGCCCCGATGAGGAATCCTTGCATGTCCACGCCGTTGTATCTCTTCGTCCATGCCGTCAACATGTGCCGGGCCTGTTCCTTGACATCCCCTGAACATTCCAGGCGAATGAGCAGACATTCATACTGATCGAAGCCAAGATGCTCTGCAAGACTCGGCCAGGTGTCTCTAAGTGCCGAGGCTGTTTTTGCTAGGGACTCATCAGAGACAACACTTCCACCTGTGAACGACAGTTTGAACATGTACTGTCCGTGTTCTTCAACAGAATCAATTTTTCTTTTCTCTCGGAGTATTTTCAATCTGTAGCCTATAATTACTGCCCCCCCCCATCGGCCAAAACCATAAGCGTAAAAGTTATATATAAGGCCAAATAAAAAAACAAACCTGATTAGCGTTCCCGCCCGCTTCCTTTTTGGAGGCCCCCCTCCTTTTTTTTTTAACCCAAAAAATGATAAATTTTAAACAGTGACATCATTTTGGCCTCTTTGTCTGTTGCATCTAGCCCATATTAAGCTGGTATGTCATTTCCTGAGTCCAAGTGGCGGCCATTTAAAAAAAAAATCCATACCACATGCTGTCTATATAGAATTATGCTGGAGGGCCCAATATATGCAATAGTATAATGTTTAAAACTACCACATCGATCGAGTCACTGCTGTAGTGTCATGGATACTACATTGGATTACGAATCCCATGGTGTGAGTTCGATTCCCATTGGATGCTTCTTTTCAATTTTTTCTTCTTTACTTCTTTTTTTTTCTCTTAAAAAGGTTATTCACATGGTGCTACCGCAAACTTATCTTGTCTTAGTATCTTTCCACCATGCAATTGCAAACCTTCAAATCTCATCTTAAAAAGATTTGTTAGTCATTTGGAACATTTTTCTTTTACCAATTTTTCTTTTACAATATGTGGTTTAGAGAATTTTTTTCAAGGGGGAAAAAAGTCCGAGAACCTGACTCAACGTAGGCCTAATTCGAAATACGTACGGAAAAAAAAATATCGCAGCCGGGTCGGGCGGCCATTTTGGAAGAAGAAGAAAAAAACCCGGCTTCCTCCTTCCGCTAAACATTTTTTTTTTTTATTTGGCCTAACTGTGTTTTTTCTTGTGGTGTGCCCCCCCCCCTTCTAATGCCCGGAGCTGGCGACGGTGCTGCTCAACAGACCATCATTATTGCATGACAACTAACTTACCTCAGTGAGAATTCAGCACAACATGAGCATGATAAGGATAATTTACGTCCCACACAGAACCGGGGGGGGGGGGGGGGGGGGGGGGTTGTAGGAGGGTGTACCTACAAATTTTGTGCTAACCGCTGTAATTAACATCAGTCTCGATCCACAAGCATGCTGGGTAATTTAATGTGGACGATTTTTAATAAGCACCGTGTGAGTTATAGCAGCCATGTTGCAGCTCATTACAGTTCAAAGTCCAAACAAAATAGCGGTGTTATGGTATAACAAGAGCATGTCATTACATACAGGTTGCTTTCTACTTTACCTTGGCTAGCCATGATCCGTCTTCTTCATTCGTGTACTGTTGAAATATCAGCACACGTTTTGTAGAGCGATACTTCTTGACTCTTCAATTAGAAAATGTCCATTTTGACGATCTTGTATTGAACACTGCGCTGTTGTTGTTGTGCAACACTTCCGTGTACGGAAATTCCCATGGCGCTATTTTGGGTTTCGAGCTCGCCGTACGAAGGGGAAATCCCGTGTGTATTTTTGGGGCTATGTTTACGGCAACCAACTGCTTGACACTGAAAGCGCCCTCCTTTGTCGGCGCTCTTTGTACGAAAAGAATGCATGTACAATTAGCGCGACGGCGCTGATCGAGGTGTTATTTATCTGTCCGGGTTTCGAACACAGTCCAGTGAGGACAAGTGTGGATCGCTTGGGGGAAAAATAACCTTCATTCGTATAAAATATTTTTTAACTTAGGGTATTTTCCAGTACATGTATACCGGCTGTGAAGGCAATGCACATTCAATTAAAAACAAAACAATAAATGACAAGCACAATTATTGTGGGCACACGACCACGGCACCTATATTGTTTGTACAACTTTTTAAAACATTAACATGGGTACAAAACTGATACAAAATTCTTTTTATTAAAAGCAGCATTGTGAATAATCACTACAAAACTAGACATTCTTAACAATTTGAATAATATTTCCATACAATCACCCATGCTGCTTCGTCCAAAAAAAAAAAATGCAAAATGAGTCATCTTGATTTTTGGTGGTCCTCTGCTTCGCTTAGACATTTAGCTTAGCACAGAAGCATAGAAAGGCCACGCCGAGTCGCCACAAATACCACATCGATCGGTGCTGGAGAGACGTAACGGCTCAGCCCTGAAGAAAGTTACAAAGACACAATTACACAATCAAACTGAAGACAATCAGAAAATAGATTGTATCTTATATAACAACAAATTGGAGGATAGTTGACATTGCATGGCACTTCGAGTTGATTCTACGATTTGTACAGATTTAGATTAAACCCGCAATTAAATCGCTGTAGGTTGATAGTAATTATATGTCCTCTCGCAGCAGGTTGATATTAATATACTACTCGCGGAAGTTTGTTTGAAAAACCAAGTTACTTTTATGTCAGACAAACAATTTTTTTTCTGAAAAGAAATGGCAATCTCGCTTGCCCGTGGATCTGCAGTTTCAATTAATATTAGGCCTATGCCAGAGTATCATATAAGCCAGGCTGGATCAATTTTTAATTTTTTAGGGGGGGGGGGGAATAGTAACAAGAAATTCAACAAAATTAATGAAACCTTTTTTTTTTTAAAGAACAATTTTATTTGGTGACAAATCGAGCATGATCGAGTCCTTCAAAGTCATGTCACATTTTGTTTCCAGAAAAACCACAACATGTTTTGAAATAGTGAATACTTTCTGTACTTACTTTGCCAAAGACACACTTTTCCATCTGCAAGAATTGAGATTAAAAGTGGTAAAGAGTTTTGTGTATCGATCCCTCCCCGACGTGATAATACTTTAAATCGTTTTCACATGGCTCAATTCTCAACTGAATATAAGATAATATGTTTGATATCCAGTGTTGTAGTCGCCGTCACCAACATCGAGTCCGAGTCCCGAGTCACAAGCCTCCAGTCCGAGTCTCGAGTTACAAGCCTCGAGTCCAAGTACGAGCCACGAGTCACTTGTTCTTAGTTGTATACCAAACTAACCAAATTGTTTTTTTCAAATTAAATTTTAATCATCCATTCCGTCTTTTAAGTAAATCCCAGTGTATATAGTTTACCTTGTGTGTGTACATGTTGTTTAGAACCAAAATGTGTTTTTCTTTTAATTCCCATCCCTAAAAAGCCTCCTCCATCCCTTCCCTTCATGTTTTATCATCCCAACATTATTCCTCAATGATCCTTTCCCATCCCTACGTTATGTTTTTTCTTTATATGAAAATGCATGAGTCGAGTCACGAGTCACCAACCTCGAGTCCGAGTCATCATGGTCGAGTCCGAGTCCGAGTCCGAGTCATTTTCCAATGTGACTCGAGTCGAGTCCGAGTCACAAAAAATGTGACTCGAGTCCGACTCGAGTCCGAGTCCTGGACTCGAGTCCTACAACACTGTTGATATCTTTTCAACTGCGCTCTGTAAGTTAAAAAAAATTGGTTACAACAGTGATGCAAAACGGCTTCATTTCATTCACACTTGAATGAACAAAAAACCTTTACCTTAACGAAACTAAACATAAGATTCTTGTTCAATGTTGTCCTTACTGCATTGTATTATATCCAATATCAAAATTCACATAACGCTGGGATTTAATAGAAATGAAAACGTTTAAAGATATATCAGTTTCAAAGACTGAAAAACATGCTATGTACATGTAGGTACTTATACTGGCAGCATTGATAAACAAAATCTGCATATTTGTTCTATTATATTACTTCTCTAGAAAATGGTTGCGCAATTTTTAAAATCCCTGTTTCACCCAAGCATTATACCCTGTGAAATCCGGTCCCTTAACTGTCAATGAGTGCGCGACTATGAGTTCTCTTTTTTCTGTGACCGATACTGTCAAGATAGGCCTGCTGACATTATAGAGTGCAACTGTCACACAATTATTTTTTTAAGATATAAAACAAATTTCTAAATAAATTTCAGTTATAAAATCAATGCGAGTCCGGCACTGACAATATATTTCGCGGTTGTTGTTGCCGTTGTTGTTGTTGTTGTTGTTGTTGTTTTTACCGTTGAGGGGCACTATAAATAGGCGACCATTCACGGGTAACTGCATATGGCACTCATCTTTAAAACACAAACTGCCCGTCAGCTAACGCGAAGCAGCCACGAAAAAGGGGGAACAATGTGCGCTTTGTACAGAAGGTCGAGCGTGTTACATGGAAATAAATAAATGAACGTTACTATTGAGAATGACTACAGAAGACACAAACGACTGCAAATGCATTTACAGCACCTCCAATCAACACAATCAATCGAACATTTTTGTTTTCAAAATTATGATCGAGAGACCTCAAGCCAACCAAGATCAAAAATTAACACAGCCATCAGTGAGACAGGTTTTGCTGAGCTTCAAGCCATTATCGTCATCAACAATAAGCTCATTGAACTAAACGCTGTTGAGAGATATAATCAATTTAGACATCCAGGCTATATTGTACATTCACACCATCCTACTTACTGATCTACCAACATGAACACATCAGGTATCTCCAAAAAACAGCGTATCATGCGTGCGGTCGACTGCACTTCCCAATCGCTCAAGGCACAAACAACCATCCAGCATACCAATCAATTTCATTACAAACTGCATTTTCAAACCAGACCGTATGTGAGTGAGCGGTGACTGCTCTATGCTCCGACACCCCTATGTTCCGACAACCTAGATTGTGTTACTCCCGGTTAGGGTTAGGGTTAGGGTTAGGAATAGGAATATGTGCAGTCGGAACATAGGGGTGTCGGAACATAGAGGTGTAACTCAGTGAGCTATCTCAGTTTGCACCATCGAGCAAAATGCTTACAGTTGTTCCAGACTAAGGAGTATCGGTTGGTCTCGTCCCCGATCTTAGATCGGGCTCTCTGGATCACCTCGTCAGGTGGATAACACTTCCGCTCGTCGTACACCAGCCTGAAGACAGGTGTTGAGAAATCAACTTTCTCTTCTACGACACCCTGCTTGTACGTGTTGTGTACCACCTGCACTTTCTTCGCACCTGGGAACCGGTCAACCACTATGGCGTGGTGTCTCGGATGCAACAGGTTGCCGTAAAACACGACTTGGTCTCCCGGGTTCATGTCCTCGATTCTCTCCACTGCCCTGTCGTCGGTCCCCATTGCCGAAGTTATGGCACGGCCGATGTGGGGTCCGACAATGGAGCCCAGGGGTTTTCCAATAATCAAGCCCAAGGTACCTCCCACTACACTTCCAAGAAACGCACCGACTGGCGATAGTATTCCGGGCAAAATGAAACTACCAGCAGCCTGTCCCGCTATGCCTATGAATGAAGCAAGCCCGGCACCAAAAATTGCTTCGCTCACACGCCGTGAAGCAGTTTCAATGAAATCTTTCAAAGAAATGCCACCTGACTTTCTTTTGTCATACACCTGTCTGAGGTCCCAGTAACACGTACGACCTTCAAAAGCAAACACAAGACCCACCCCTACCAAGTTAGATCATTTCCATACCTGCTCAATAAACTCTGCTCCCCCACCGCTTTCATTGCTTCTTTTCCTCCACCCGCCATCGCATCATTAGCGATCTTCCTGACGAGACTATACCCAACCTTCCACACGCCGTCTGCGAGACTAGCTAGCGCTTTTTCCACAATTTCCGTGTATTTGCGATACAGCCAGACAAGCTGGCAGCTCTCTGCAACCCCAGTCTTACAGTAAGACGCGAACGCTTCGCAGTTATCCCCGAACAGGTTGTAACCGATGTCTCCCTTTCGCGATTCAGCCCGGGCAATAACCAACTCCGTCGTGTTGGCCGCGGTAATCTCGTCAGGATAATCGATTCGAAACATGTCGCCCCACTGCTGGCGCAAGTCAAGCTCTTCTTCAACGATCTGCGCCGTAACGCTGCAGTTTGGTTTATGCCAATGTATAACTTTGACTTTTCCAACCTCATCACTGAGGCCAGACACGACTGCATGGTGCCATATGCCATAAGGTCGGTGCCACGTGATATGATCCCCTACCTTCATGTAATGACTAATGTCGTCGAAGTGTTCAATCTTGGTGCGACAGTCCTTCACCTGAAAGACCGGATTTTTCTCCACAGGTACCTCTAGTTGTTCCTTCAGCACGACCCCACCGAGTTTCACCCACGGGCGAGTGTTGTCCACGTCTGGATGGAACAAGAAGCGCTCTGAGAGCCACTCCTGGCCGCATGAGGCGCAGCAAAGACCAATCACACGGGTGAAACCTTCGTAGTCTTTGCTGTAGTATCTTCGCATCTTGAGGGGATTTGCATTGCCGCATCGTCCACACGGTTGAAGCTGTTGCGACGGTACTGCAATCGGAATGAGATCGTGATATGGAGCAAAGATTTAACGTACGAGTTACTGATTTTTATTATTTACTCCTAATTTGTTTGGCTGGGGTGGGCTGGACTCTCAACAAGTACTTATGTTCAAAAACGAGGAATATGTTTCACTCGTTTTACTGGTAATATTACGGTGTACTTTTTTGTTCACACGGATAGGGCCGCAATTCTTCGTGTTGTTTTCAATAACGTAACAATTGGATAGTGTTTTGTGAATTTTTT